CCAGCCCTTGGCCACCGCGCTCCTGCAGGCTGGCACGTGCCGAGTGCCATCGCCTGGGGCAAGTTGCACACGGAGACGCCTCGTCACCGCTCTCCCGGCCCAGTCCCGGGCTCGGCAGGACCCAAGTGCGCTCGCGCCACCCAACAGCTTCAGACAGACAGTGTGAGCGTGGCCTGGTGCTCCATGGTGGGGACGTCTGGGGACGCTGTGCCCAGGGCCCTCTCGGTGGCATAAGCAGAACTAAGTCACCACGGCTCTGCCCAGAACAGAAGCCAGAAACTGACTTCTAGACGATGAAGTCGCTCCCGGCACCTGCCTGTGGGACGACACCCACGTGACCACCTGGCCCCGTGGGGACCCCTGGCTCGTGCAGAGAGCCGGCCTGCGAGGCCACACGGACGCCCTGAGGGGGGCAGAGTAGGGGACGGGAGCACCGGGGTCCCTGGCGACACCGAGCACACAAACGAGCCCGTCTCAGAACCTCTCAGCCCCAGACTTCCAGCCGCGCTCAGGAATGTGTCCTTGTACCTGGACCTCGCCTGCTGCAGCCCTAACACCCCGGCAGGTGTGGGGGCACAGGGTTAGTGCGCACCCAGCAGGGACGCATTGCAGCCTGTCCCTACGGCCTGTCCTGCTGCAGGAAGGGACTGGAGACACCTCCTGATGGGGGCCCATCTTCATCAGCTGCTTTACGGAAAAGTGAGGGTAACTGTTGCTTTCCATGGGTAGATTTTATAAACCAAGGCTGGAACGCCGAGCGGGGTCTTAAACGATGCCCTAAAATGCAAAGGACCCACCAGATGGGCCTGAGCTAGGAGGGCCGCAGGCAGACAGCCTGTGCGTCCCAGTGCCCGCTGAGCCTGTCCCACGGAGGGCGCGGCCAGGAGGCTGAGGCAGGACTCCCCCAGCAGAGGCCGTGCAGGAGGGGGCGAGGCCAGCCCCGGGGGGCGGGGCCCTGGGTGACTGTCACCAGACACCAGAGCATCCCGCCCTGCATGCAGCCCACAGAGCACCTGCTGAGGGACCCATTTCAGTTCCAGGGGTTCAGGTGAGCCAGCCTCCTCCCTCACAGCTGGGGACGACTGAGTTCAGGCCGGCGGCCTCGGCTGTGGCTTCGGGCAATGCGGCTACTTCCCCCGAGTCCCTGTTCCCTCATCTGCAGACAGAGGGACTGAAGCGTTGGGGTTGTTACGAAGTTTAATGAGACCAGTTCCGTGTGGCGCTCAACACGCAAACAGTGAGAACTCACTAAGAGACCAGGGACTGTGTACCCGACGAGTCCCATTTTCCCGGAGAAAATTACCCATAAATCAGAGAGGCAGAACGCAGCCCTGCGCGGCAGCTGTGCACCGAGGGGCCCCCGCCCGCCTCTCGCTCAGGTGCCAGGCGTCCACATTAGTGCTGCCCATCCCCGAGTCCCCAGGGACCGTCTCGCGGGTGCGACAGATAAATTTTACGGGACTTGACCCCGCCACGCAAGCTCCCTGACAAGGCATTTTAGGGATCGTTACATTCTCTTGACAGACGATGAGGCAAGGTGGGCGTTTAGCAGCCCGCACGACCGGCTGCTGCGGCCAGATTCGTTTTGAATTACCTCGTGCACATAACACTTACGACACTGTCATCTCGGAATCGCACCGCTGAGACTGAGCGAGGTGATGGCTCCCGGCGGCGCTGGCCAACGGGGAATGACAACCTTTACTCTGGGATTAGCATCGCGTCCCCATTACCTGACGCGCGGTGATGGCCACAATCACAGGCAGAGTGCTCGCCCGATTGAGCAGACGGCTTTTTAAAACAGTTTATGCAGCTCTAAAACTAAGTAAATGGAGTGTTTCGGAACAAGAAATGCTGATTGCAAACCTCATCATTATTATAAATTAAATGCCTAAGTTATTCACCTAAGGCTCTGGCGGGTCCCCTGTGACTTAGGTGCAATTATGGGAAAAATCCAATTGGTCTGACTCGAGGCCAACGTCATAGCCGCACACGTGACCTGACGCTAAGGGACCTTCGGGTGCTTTGCCGGGAGGCCTCCCGAGACCGGGCGATGGTTTGACTCCCGGCTCCACGCGCCTGGGCGATGCTCCCGTGCTCGGATCCTCCCCCACGGCCCCGGGGACTGGTGCAGAGCTGGGGGCTGTCGCCTCGGGGTAAATTCCAGGGACGACCCACCCGTCCACCCTCCAGTCCCCCACTCGACCAGCAGCACCCTGTGGTTGCTCAGCGAGACTGTTCCCCCTCCCAGCTGATGGGGTGCCACTCAGAATTTCCTGGGGAAAAGCAAGGCCACCGGACCGTGACCCACTTAAGGAAGGGTCGGCTAGGACACAGTGCCCACAGCGTTCTGCCAGGGTCTGCCGGGTGGCCGGGCTGCTCACCACGCGGGCACAGCGACCGGCCCAAGCTGGAAGGGGGCTGGTTTTCACTGTCTGCCTGGAGATGCCGCGGCTGAAGTGACTGTCACGTGCCTTCAGCCGGGAGCCCAGAACCCTGCAGGTCTCTGTGACTCAGCCGCACGCAGCTCAGCGTGGTCGTGACCGATGTTTGGGGCGTCCCTGCCCCTCCGAACCAGAGCGCGAGCGCCTTGGTTTCCGAGGATCAGCCTCTCAGGTCACTGCTATTTCTGTCACGTGAGCGAAGGACCCAGGACACAGGGCTGACGGGTGTAACACCCAGCCCCCCCCATGCCCCTGGTGCCACCCACCTTTATGGGGTTCATTTAATTAGATGCAGGGGCAGTGACTCCCCTCTGCGAGATATCACACCTGTTTTCGAGTGAATTAAAATTTAGATTCCATTGGCAGCAACAGATGAAAATAAACTATATACTGAAAAGTAAAAGTTTTGAGCCCTGATTTCAGTTGGATAAAAAAAATCTTGCAGTGATGCCACCAAGATCGAGCCACAGACCTCGCCCCCACCGCAGGAAGTCCTGAGAAGTCACCAGGTCACCACGGGATGGAGCACAGGCCGGCAGTCCTGCTCATGGGATGGGGGATGGCAACGCAGGACACGGGATGCTCAGAGGCGGGGGGCTGCCATCCGCCCCGCCCCCCGCTCCACAGAGTGGGGTCTCGGGGTCCCCAATGGGAAGGGAGAACGGGATCAACCAGCGCCTCGCGCTGCGTCGCTTCGGGAGCCCCCTCTGATCTCGTGCCATGGGGACTGCAGCCCCCGCGGCTCCGCAGGGTCGGACTGGCGGGGGCGGGGCTTTAATTCCTGGGCGCAGGGGGCCCCTGCAGAGGCGGCAGCTGCCCCGACCCCCGGGCATGGCTCCCCGCAGAACCAAGTGGGGGCGGGGGGCTCGCTGGTGCAGAGCTGCCTCGTTCCGACCCGCAAATCAGGGTCTGCCGCCCAGAGCCGGGTTTGCCCAGGCGAGGAGCCGAATCAGCCCACAGCGGGCAGAGGGCCGGTGACAACTGGGAGCTGAGTGGCTGACAACCTGGCGCTGGGTGGACCGAGTGGAGCAGGTGGTGTTGGGTCCGGGAGCTCTGAGCAGGGGCTGGAGCAAAGACAGGAGTGGGGGGCTTTGCCACATTTAGTTGCTTCTGCTGCTTCTCCCTCTCGCTACCCACACGCGCCCTCACTAAGCGCCACCTGCACCTGTGGAACGGAGCCCTGGGGAAGGGTCGCCAAGGCGCCGAGCCGATGCCACGGTGACACAGGCCGTGAACAGCCAGCACAGCACGAGGCCTCCCACCCGCAGAGCCAAACCGCAGCGGCATCCAGGCCCCCAAACAAGGAGCTGCAGGGCCCCTGGGTCCCGCCCTGCTGCCGCCGGGGGAGGAGGTGACTAATGGCCATCTCCTACTGAGTACGGTCAGTCACGGCCACCTCGTAACGCTGACCAGAGTCCCTGCCGGCAAGAAAACCATGCACAGTGTCCGCGCAGAAGAGGAAGGCGTGAAACTGCCTCTATTTGCAGAGGACGTGATTTTACTTGTAGAAAACCCAAAAGACTCAACAGAAAGACTCAGATCTAATCAAAGAATTCAGTAAAGGTGCAGGAGACAAAATTAACATACAGAAATCAGTGGCGCTGTATACACTAAAATGAACTTTTGAAAAAAGAAATATATCGATCCCATTTACAACAGCATCAAAAACAACAAAATACTCTGGGCTAAATTTAACTAAGGAGGGAAAAGATCTCTACCTGAAACTTACGACACACGATGAAAAATCGGAGATGCAAACAAACGGAACGGTGTCTCCTGTTTATAGACGAGAAGAATGAATAATGTTGAGGTAGCAACACTACCAAAAGCCACCTACAGATTCAAAATGCAATCTCTGTTAATATTTCAATGGTATTTTTACAGAAATAGAAAAGTCACCCTTAAAATTTATATAGGACCATGAAAGACCCCAAATCGTCAAAGCAATCCCGAGAAAGAACAGAGTAGGGTGCATCGCACTTCCTGATTTCAAACTGAGCTCCAAAGCTACAGTCATCAAAACGGCACGGCACTGGCATAAAAACAGACACGCAAACCGATGGAACAGAATCGAGAG